TGGCGACCTGATGTGAAGAGCTGACTCACTGGAGAAGACCCTGATGCTGGGAAAGATTGAAGGCAGGAGGAGAAAAGGACGACAGAGGATGAGATGGTTGGATGGCATCACTGACTCAGTGGACATGAGTTTGAGCAAGCTCCGGGAGATGGTGAGAGACAGGGAAGCCTGGCGTGCGGCAGTCCATGGGGTCTCAAGGAGCTGGACACGACTAAGCGACTGAACAACCATAATAGGAATGCAAAACCTCAGAAAAGTGACAAACATGACTAAGGAAAGAAGAAAAGAAGGAAGGATGCACGGAAAGAAGGAGGGAGAGAACACAGGCTCTATTGTCAGTAGTGTCTAGGCAATTATTACTTCAGTGAAACTCTTCTAATTATAGAAGAATTGAACTTTGAGCAATTCTCATCATCATGAAAAGAAGTTCTCATTCTCAAAAGACCACAAGTACATCCTCCCTTACTCCAGAAATTTAACACAGGGCTAGCAATTAGAATCTGATCCAATGAATTTACTACCTTCTTCCTGGTTTCCAGGAGTTGGATTACTGACTCCCAGACTCTTGCCACTGACTCTCCCAGGAAGAATAACATCATGACAGATATATCAGAGTGTGCTGCCAGCTTCTTTCTAATAAACCTCTGTGAAGAGCCACTTACGAAATAACTAAATGGTATTTCCCAGTTTGTGATGATGAATGACCACAGGATTTAAAGATTATTTGTTGGGAAAAAAAGAGGCAAAGAATTTTGATCTATAACTAAGTCCCAAAGGTTAGAACTCATGTTTTTAAGTGTTAGATACCATTGCAAATAAACCTTTTAAGCATCAAAATTTTAAAAGTACAATTCAGAGGGCCAACAAGAGTCAATAATTTGGAAAAAGTGTAATTTAGGGAGACTTACTCTACTAGGTATTGAAATGCAGTTTGAGAGATATAACACTTCAGAGTGTATGGTAATGGTTCAGGTATAAACAATGGAACAGATCAGAGAAACCAGCGAGAAGTAAATACATATGGAAATTTGATATACATCAGATATAACACTACAAGTTCCAGTGGAATTTCTAACTGGAGTACTAGAAAAATATTTATATTTTAGTAAGGGAATAAATTGCAATTAAGTATCATTAATATATAATTTGATAGTAGTACATATGTATAATTTACTTGTGACTAGATCTGAGGCAGGGTGGAGGCTCAGAACATTTTTACTTCTATAGGACTGCAGTTATCAAAAAATACTGAAAACCATTTATCAGTAAATGTGTTCTAGCAATTGGTTATCCATATAGAAAATAAAGTTTCATTCTTATCTCCCTACACAAAAAAAATACTTGTAGGGAAATTAAGGACTTGAATATAAAAATAAACTTTTAAGATTTTAGATGATTTTCAGTAAATTATCTATACAATTTCAGGGCTAAGAAACATAAAAGGAGAATAGTGACACACGTGATCATATAAAAATTAGAAAAAAGATATTATAAACAAGGTAAAAATTCAAGAGGTAGATTGTATGTAGCTAATAAAAAATTAGGAGAGTACAGAGGTAAGTTGTATCGATCAGTAACAAAAAAGACAATACTGTTGAAAAATGGTCAATAAATACAGATAGCTAAATCACAGAACAGGAAGTACAAGTGGCCCAAAAATATAGCAATATTTGCTCTCACCCTAATCTAGGACACACAAATCAAAACAAAATTAGACATCAATTTTAGGACCATCAAATTAGAAGAATTTAAAAGGTTGAAAATACAGGTAAGGATACATAACATCATAACAACAAGCGCTCTCAAAAGATTGGTAGAAGCAAAAACTCTGGAGGGTAATTTGGTGATTAGGTAACAGTAAGGTTAAAGGTACACAATATCTTAGTGAACCAGAAATTGATTACCTTTCTAAATATACAGCCTAGAGAACTTCTCAATCAATACACACAAAGTTACAAGTACAACGATGTTTATTGCTGCTGACCCTGCTCCGATGCTGCATTAGCTCTGTCCCGAGACTCAAACCTTCCCGCTTCATCCCGCTTCCGAGTCTTCTCTGAAGTTCTCTCCTCCTCAGCACTCTACTTCATACTGAGCATCTATCTTGTTGCTGGTTGGAACCCCCACGTCTCTCTTCTGAACAAACTCAAGTTTCTCAGTGGCTAGGCATCTCATCATTTTTACACTGGTCCATCTTAAATCACTTTTCCATTATAACAGTTAAGACCAGTAAAATAAAATCAGTCATGGAATGGAAGACTGCTTAAAGGGCTAGCACCCTTCCTCAAAATGAAAAACACTACATGAAATCACATCCCCTTTGCCTCCTCCAAACGCTCTTTGTTGTGTTCTAGTAATGACTACATTGGACCTTATATTCAAGAATGCATGCAAGTACGTTGTGTGCTAAGTCAAGTTCAACTCTTTGCAGCCCCATGGACTGTAGCCTGCCAGGCTCCTCTGTCCATGTGACCTCTCAGGCAAGAATACCAGAGTGATATCTCATTGTAGTTTTGATTTGCATTTCTCTAATAATGAGTTGCAATTCATGGGGTCGCAAGGAGTCGGACACGACTGAGCGACTGAACTGAACTGAATAATGAGTTGAGGTTTGACAGAAAACAGCAAAATTCTGTAAAACAATTACCCTTCAATAAAAAAAAAAAAAAAAAGAATACCAGAGTGGGTTGCCATTTCCTTCTTCAGGGGATCTTCCTGACTCATGGATCAAACCAGTGTCTCCTATATCTCCTGCATTGGCAGGCAGATTCTAACTTTAAAATAATTGTCACAAATATTTAGTGAGCACTTCTTAAACAAGTACTTAAGTGCTGAAACACTAAAATGAAATTCCTGCTTGTAAACAACTCAAACTTGGATTAGGAGAAATCCTTGAATGGGAAACAAGTAAATAGTTATAAAACAATGAATGAAGTACAAAGAAGAATGTAAACACAAGAAACTGTAGGAGGAGAGAGAGAAAGTGAATTTCCAGTACCTCATGTGGGCTGGAATGAGGGGGGCCTGCTGGGTCTCATTATTCCCACTTGGGTCAGTCTCCCATTGGAAGGGCAGGAATGCAGAAGTAAGTATCCTGAGTGCAAGATCCAATCTAGGCTGGCTCAATGACGCTCAGCCTCCCCAGACAGGAAAAGCACTACATTTAACTGTCCCCACCCCATCTCTGCAGTGACTAGGGAGATGGGAAGATTTCACAAAAAATATGACACTTGAACTTAATGTGAAGGAAATACAACAGTTCACAAGTTTAAGATCAGAGCAGGCAAAAGTCAAAGGTGTGCAAAGGCCCGTGAGAGTTGGTGACTGGAGGGTAGGGTTCCCCCAGGATTGGTGGGAGAAAGGCTTAGAGAAAGGGAGAGCAATTACTCGGTGAGGAAAGGGCCGGTGTGCTGCACTTAGAAATTTGGGCTCTATTCCATGGATGGGCCACAGTTTGTCAGGAAGATCACTGGTTCTACTGCACACAAAACAGAGTTCAACCTCCAGAACCCAGCTGGCCCAAGGTAACTTTCAAGCTTCATTTGTTGTTGTTCCCACTAAATAACTGACTTTCCAGAAAAATCATCACTGCAATGTATCATGTTTTTCATTGTAAATACTTTTCTCCTGTTCCATTGATAATGTTTGCATTCATTCTTTGAAAGCCTCCCCTTGGAAGCTTCTGCCAGCTCCCTCGGGTAGAATTAATTCATTCCTTTGTTTCATCTGCATAATAATGTTTGGGACCACTCTTAAATCACTCACTCTTCTGTTTGACAATTATTTATTAGGGATTAGACTGTACATGTTCACAGGCAGTAGAGATATAACTAAGCAGGGTGCTTAACACAGTGAGGAGTCAAAAAATGTTGGTCTCATACACTCCTTCTCAAGGTAACAGATACCATTTATGGTATATGAACTGTGTTCGGTAGTATATTAAGTATGTAACCAATAAATTATGAATTTTTAAAACTCACTGTAGAAAAATTAGAACTATGACATCAAATTCAGGATTTTAGAGATATTACTGCTTAGGAAATGACTATAATGAAAATATTAATTAGAGTAAACAGTTCAGGAGTGAAGCCCCTCTCTGACACTCCCATTAATGAACACTGTTTAATACACTGCATAGCATTTATCATCACTTGATATATCTACATATATGTATTGCTCTCCTCTGCCTAGAGTATAAGCTCCATGAGGGCTGGGATTTGGTCCATTATGTTCACTGTAGAACTCCCAGAACTTAAAACAGTACCTGGTAAGTGTAAGGGCTCAATATTCAGTTATTTAAAGAGAATGATGGAGGTCATCGAAAGGGAGGGGTTGATGGAGGCAGGAAGAGATGGAGGTTAATGTACTCATCCAATTCACAGAATCAGTATTTGAGCTGGAAGGGACTTCACTGCTCTCATTTTGCAGACGGAGACTGGTGCCCAGAAAGGGCTGGTGATGTACTCAAGGCCACATGGTGGGAGCAGCAAGAGCCTACGCTTCAACCTGGGTCACTTACCGAGAGGCTGGTGAACTCCCATGCCGTGCTCAGTCACATCCAGCTCGTTGTGACCCCACGGGCTGTAGTCTGCCAGGCTCCTCTGTCCATGGAATTTTCCAGACAAGCATACTGGGGCAGGTTGCCACTTCCTACTCCAGGGGATCTTCCTGACCCAGGGATCTAACCCATGTCTCTTGCATCTCCTGCACTGGCAGGCGGATTCTTTACCACTGCGCCACCTGGAAAGCCCGACCTTCCCATAACATCCACATACAGGCAATATAGACAAATGGAGGTTTACTACGTATCTATAACAAACCTCAACTGCTGGAAATCCAACAGTGTTAATAAAATGGTATTGACTGCTTCATCCAGACACCAATAATCAAGACAGAAATAAGAAAATTAAGATCGTCTGACCCACAGTTTTATGATACAAGTATCAGACAGAATTTAGTTAATATAAATATCAGACAGTTATTGATGAAAACATCATTACCTCCAAGAACCATGCCAGCCTGACAGCACTTTCTAAGGCGACATGCTGGGCAGTTTTTTCTGCGGATTTTATCAACAATGCAGTCGTTTCTTCCAGCACATAAGTAGTTATGCTGTCCTAAAAAACAACAAAAAAAGGAACAGTTATTTAAAATATACAAAGACTTCTGGGAAGCTTATGCAGTGACAACGAAAAAGAGGAGAGGTGCACATTAGCAAATGCATGACTGTCTCAGCCTGCCTCTTGCTTGGCCTAGCCGAATGCTTGTAATGCTCTAAACTTGTTCCATAAGCCTGTGCCTTCAGGAGCCTAAATTAGAAACTAATTCCAGAACTCCTTTAAAAATCTTTTGTAAAATATTTCTGTGCATCTTATTAATGGTGTCAGCATCAGAATGTCTAGATCTCCATTATTTGAAGATTAGGTACGTGTTGCTGATAAGCATTAGTGTGTTAAGATAGTCAAGTTCCAGTAAAACCTTTTTTTTCTTTTTTTAACATATAAACTATCAAAAGAACAGGTATAGACAAAGAAGTCTCTGTGATAGACTTTTTAATAAAACTTACGTGCTTAATTCTTTTGGAAAATCTTGGAGCAAATTCACTCTTCAAGAATCTCATGAATTTGAATAGCATGTAAAAACCATCACTGATTATACTGACTTTACTGTCTGGTTTATCTTGGCTTAAATTAGAAAACAGGATGGAGAGAAATAATGATAAAGGGAGAACAATTTAAAACAATAAGAAAAACTCAATGAAGGACAGGAGAGAAGAATTATAGAAGAAATAAGGGTAAAACATGACCCTGTGTTCATTTTGTGATGGGTTTTTGTATAAGTGGTTACTTATACCCTTCAAAAAGTCTGGAATAAAATTTAATATTCAACAAGGATGATTATTTAAACCAAAATATGTTATATTTAATAAGGCATAGAGCAACCTAATTTATTTAGGCTAAATGAAAATGAAAAAAATTGTTGGCTTAAACATATAAATATTAATTGACTAGAAAATTCACTGCTTTGGCACTTCTTATTTTCCACTGAATTCCTATGAAATAGACTGTGACACTTTTTAACATCATCAGATTGTTTAAAGATAATCTTAAAAGTTGGAATTTTCAATTTTAAAATATCATGAAATTTTCCTATAGTATTTTATATTGTTGTTTAGTTGCTACGTCATATCTGATTCTTTTGCAGCCCCAAGGACTGCAGCCCAGCAGACTCCTCTGTCCGTGGGATTCTCCCTGCAAGAATACTGGAGGGGGTTGCCATTTCCTTCTCCAGGGGATCTTCCTGACCCAGGGAATAAAACCCAGTTATCCTGCTTGGCACGTAGATTCTTTACCACTGAAGCACCTGGGAAGCCCAGTACTTTGTATTAGTTGATGTTAAAATCAGATCCATTCTTTTAAGGGAAGCTAGTAGTAAAGAAATAGAGGTACCTTAAATGCGTGCTTACATGAGAGGGAAAAGGCTAAGCTGCAGGGACAAACGGCACAACGGCCGTGTCTTACGAGATAGCAGATAACAAAATGATTCTTGACCTGGGACGTTTTTAGAAAATCAGATAGTCTTTGCTCCAAAATGGATTCCTCCACAAACTTATATTCATGTACTCTCACATACTGGGCTTCCCTGGTGGCTCAGAGGGTAAAGAATCCCCCTGCAATGCAGAAGACCTGGGTTCGATCCCTGGGTCGGGAAGATCCCCTGGAAAAGGGAATGGCTACCCACTCCAGTATTCTGGCCTAGAGAATTGCATGGACAGAGGAGGCAGGTGGGTTACAGGCATGGATGCAAGAGTCAGACACCACTTAGTGACTAAACCACCAACACCACTCTCACACACCAGTGCTCATTCTCTTGCCCCTCTCCAAAGAGCAGTTACGAAGCTCCACAACTATGCTCACTAGATCAGTGAAATGTACTGCATGCTACTTTCTAACTGGACTCTGGTTTAATTTTTATATACATATACTTTTTCAGGCTACAAGAATGACTGCGGGAGTAAAAGCTGTGCTGTGCTATGCTTAGTTGCTCAGTTGCGTCCTGGGGGACGTCCAGTTGCTCTTTGCAACCCCAGGGACTGCAGCCCGCCAGGCTCCTCTGTCCATGGGGATTCTCCAGGCAAGAATACTGGAGGGGGTTGCCATATCCTTCCCCCACAGGATCTTCCTGACCCAGAGATTGAACCCAGGTCTCCCACATTGCAGGCTGATTCTTTACTGTTTGAGCCAGCAGAGAAGCCCAAAAGTGTGTGTAACTTTATCTATTTATCTATGATCACTTATCTTGACTCTGCACTGATTTCTCATGAGAGAACAGAAAGCAAGATTTTTCCATCCTCTCTAGAGAACACACTTAAACGATGCTCAGAGATGTAACTGTTGTCTAAGGGCAGGCTGTTCTTCTCTACACTCCTCTGTCAAAAACATCCAGGAAAAAAGCCTGAACCATCTGCAGCCGGAATGCTTCTAAGCTATCTCTTGTCTGTTTCTAAATGATTTACAATAGCACCTCCTTCTTCAGTGTCTCAGAGAAGTCCCCATTAGACGGTGCTCACTGCATCTTGCTAAAACCATTCCTTCCTACCTGCTTTCAAACCTTCCCCATCAGTTTCCTCCTAAAATCTTCAGTCGCTCCCCCTTCAAGGATGTCTTTCTTTCTCCTCAAGCTTTTCCATTTCAAAAATTCCAGAATCAAGAAAAAAAAAAAAAGGAACTGTGTGTCTCAGTCTAAATTCTCCCTGACTTCATCCCTTTCTTTGTCATCTAAGTTGGTGAAAAAGTCATCGGCATTTGCAGCCTTTAATCAGTTTCCTTTACTCCTCAGTTCAGTTCAGTTCAGTCGCTCACTCATGTCCTACTACTCTTTGTGGCCCCATGGACTGCAGCACGCCAGGCCTCCCTGTCCATCACCAACTCCCGGAGTTTGCTCAAACTCATGTCCATCGAGTCAGTGATGCCATCCAACCATCTCAACCTTTACTCCTCAGCTTATTGGAACTGGGCTTATATGTCCACTGTGCTTATAAAGCAGACTAATGCCATCAACGATGTCTTCATTCTTAAACCCAATGACTCTTTCTTGACTTTCTGCACAATCTGCCATGGGCAATTCTCTCTCCATGGGTCCCCTGCCCCTGCTTTTTTTATTTGAAGCATGTCTCTTATGACTCTTTATCTTCTTTCTAACAGTTTCTTTTAAGTTCCCACTGCCCATACCTTTGCCTTTGCCTTTGCCTTATATGCTGTGTGCTGTGTGCTCAGCCGTGGCCGACTCTTTGCGACCCCATGGACTGTAGCCCACCAGGCTCCGCTGTCCATGGAATTCTCCAGGCAGGAATACTGGAGTGGGTTGCTATTTCCTTCTCCACCTTATATGTCGTATTCCATTGTAAACACCATGTGGGTAGTCTCATCATCTGTGCATGGCTCCAAAATTTCATCCTAAGCTCTGACCTTCCAACCACCTCCTGGTAGGTACTGGGAACTCATGAAAAGGAATTCATGTAGTTATCTGGTCAAATTATTTCATAAACTGTGTCATTCGAGAATTTTTGTAACAGATTAAGGAAATTTGAAAAAAGGAAATTATCTACAATCTCATTGCCATGCAACCAAACGCTAGGCTGGAGGAAGCACAAGCTGGAATCAAAATTGCCGGGAGAAATATGAATAACCTCAGATATGCAGATGACACCACCCTTATGGCAGAAAGTGAAGAGGAACTAAAAAGCCTCTTGATGAAAGTGAAAGAGGAGAGTGAAAAAGTTGGTTTAAAACTCAACATTTAGAAAACTAAGATCATGGCATCTGGTCTCATCACTTCATGGGAAATAGATGGGGAGATAGGGGAAACAGTGTCAGACTTTACTTTTTTGGGTTCCAAAATCACAGCAGATGGTGACTGCAGCCATGAAATTAAAGACACTTACTCCTTGGAAGAAAAACTATGACCAACCTAGATAGCATATTAAAAAGCAGAGACATTACTTGGCCAACAAAGGTCCGTCTGGTCAAGGCTATGGTTTTTCCAGTGGTCATGTATGGATGTGAGAGTTGGACTGTGAGGAAAGCTGAGTGCCGAAAAATTGATGCTTTTGAACTGTGGTGTTGGAGCAGGCTCTTGAGAGTCCCTTGGACTGTAAGGAGATCCAACCAGTCCATCCTGAAGGAGATCAGTCCTGGGTGTTCATTGGAAGGACTGATGCTGAAGCTGAAACTCCAATACTTTGGCCACCTCATGGGAAGAGTTGACTCATTGGAAAAGACCCTGATGCTGGAAGGGATTGGGGGCAGGAGGAGAAGGGATGAGGACAGAGGATGAGATGGCTGGATGGCATCACCAACTCGATGGACATGGGTTTGAGTAAACTCTGGGAGTTTGTGATGGACAGTGAGGCCTGGCATGCTGCAATTCATGGGGTCGCAAAGAGTCGGACATGACTGAGTGACTGGAGCGAACTGAACTGAACTTTCATTTTCAGGTTTCCTTCCAGCCTATCTAAACAGATCTAGAAGGTATTTAACATCTATTTGTCAAGTGAATATATGCACACTTTTAGAAAATTCTTATTAATTCAACAAGTATTTACTGAGTGTTTATTATGTCCCAATACTGCTTTTTGAGTAATCCCCTTTCCCCACTTAACTGAAATGCATCTTAATTATTGATACTATAGTGCAGAGGAGCATTTACTGAAATCAGATGGCTTGTTCAAAGCTCATATCTGAAGACTACAATCTCCAAGATGATAATAACAGCAACAATTATTAAGCACTTACTATGTACTGGCCACTGTTAGAAGCCATTGCATGTATTAAACTCATTTAACCATCATAGCAATCTTGGAGGTGTTATCAACCCCATTTTATAGAGTTAACTGAGGCACAGGGAAGTTAAGTAACATGTTTGATGTCACATAGGCAGAAATTTTAGCTTAATTCACCCAAAAGGTTGTGTAGGAAATTAAGGGTATGAACTTTGGAGCAATACTGCATCCGTTCACATTTCAGCCTCACTATCTGCTAGCTGGTGACCTATGGCAAGTAAAAGGAGGACACTGTTAGTATTTGGGGTCAAATTTAAGAACTAAGTGAGCTCATAT